TTCCTAATCTATTGTGCTTCTAAGGTATTGCATGTATCGTAAGCTTGGGCCATAATGGATGCAGAAGTGAACAGACTAGGTCTAGAGGTTGTCCAGATGAGTTCTCAACTGAGTTCTGGGTGTGCTTGTCCAGTAAATTAATATACCTGTCAACTTGGTATATCAGCACTGGTGCTGAGAATGTCAGAGCTCTGATGCTCACTAGCTGGCAGTGCTTCTTGCTTTTGACAAGACGGTGCTGCTGTCACTAGCTTTTGAAACAGCTCAGATGAACTGGTTACTGCTTTTGAGTTACTGATGATGTGTGCATATGGATAACTTGTCAGGAAGAATAAGGACTTTTACCTCCTTAGTTTGTGTAAATGTGGGGCTTCTGCAGCTGACTGAAAGCTGACATAATAGGTAGGATATACTATTAAATTGGCTTGTGTTACAGATTCTTCTTGTGCAGAGTAATGCAAAGTTTGTAAGTTCAGGCGCACATAATGATGAAATGTGCACATCTTTGCATCCTTTAATGTAAGATAATATCTCAGCATTTTAATATGCTGTAATGTGTGTTTCCTAGTACATTACTCTGATCCTGTACACAACTTAATATGAGCAACAAAATAAAAAGCAATTAGTGGTTTAAAGTTCTGCATCTGTATCCTGTTACTAATGTTATTAATGCTTTTCTCGACTTGGAGGAGAAGCAGTTCTTTGGCAGTTGTATTTCAATTACTAGCTACTTCTTCCTGTAAAGTGGCTGTGCCACAGATCTTACTGTTGCTTCTCTTGCTTATTCTGGGTTGGTGGGGTTTTGAATGTCTCTATTGCTCACAGGAGAGACCTTTTTCAAATACTTACTTGGAAGTAAATAATGCCACCTGTTTAGTTCAGTCTTGCTATTTCCCTTAGACATAATTAAAGACAAGCATTTCCTTAATTTTTAACACTCGGTAAAATAAACACTTTAATATTCTGTGTATGTGTTCTTAAGTTATTACAATCAAATTCTTTCATGGTGTATTTTCATACAAATGCATAGAAATATTTAAGTTGAAATACTGTTGGCCTTGACCCTGACAGTCTTCAAAGACTGGGCTTATTGTGTACCTGACAGACACTTAACTTAAGGTGTTGCTTCTGTCCTTTCTGCTAAAATATCTTTCATCCTTTCTTTTATCTGATTAGATGACAAAATGCATCTATACTTTGCTAGTCAAATTCCAGTTGGATGATCATCTAATTTATTTCAGATAGTGAACTTTAAAAGCTTAATGCAAAGTGACCTACTGAAAGTCTTAATATAGTAACATGAAGGAAGGTGGTGCTTATTTTCTGACATAACAGAAAAAGGAAGTGTTTATGGTGTGTCAGTGAGCCCATATTCTGTGAGAGTTTAGACAGTTCTGAGAGAACTAAAAAAGCAAGTGTTAAACTAATTTTATGTCTTACCATGTGCAGTCTTTAAGGAGTGTACTTGCTTGCATTTTTCACATGCTCTATATTGATGCATGCTTCTTTACTACAACTGGAAGAGCTTGAGCTTACCAGTTTGAAAAACACCTTAGATGTAGAAATTGAATGGTGCTTTGACAGTACTGGATCTTTTCTCTTCTCACCAATTCAATGATGTTGACATCGTCTCCAAGATCAATAGCTCTTGAAGAGTTTTGCTTCTGGATAACTAGTGTCTTGATCTTGACTACATACAGAGTGGATCCCAGAATACTTAAATAATTCTGGAACATTTAAGCTGTACAGGCAGGCTTAGACCTCCAGATTCAATCCCTGAGTTTGGCTGCCAATGATTGTTACAAAACATTTAGCTTCCTAAAGCGATAGTTTCTCTCCAGGAGAAGAAAAAAAGGAATGGGGGAAAGAACTTGACTTCAGCCGTCTGACAGAATGCAGTTTCCAATGTAGCTAGAGTTGTATTTTCACTTCTGTTCTCTAAACAGTTCCTCAGGACTGAGTAACACAGTTCTGAAAGGTCAAATTTTGCTCTTGTTCAAGTAAGGGATATCAGTGCTCTTACGCTTGGGGAATTGTAGGATCTAAATCCTAACAGACTTGGATAGGTCTCCTGCAGTTCTGTGGCAAGATTACACATATATTACTCTACTGATTTCTGTTAAGAATTATGGCTTCTTGATCAGCATGTGACTTTTCAGATAAGAACTTCAGGAAGACAGTCTGTCCTTTGGTATCGTGTAAAGAGCTTCAGTGCTTAGGCTAGAAACTGACTGGCATGCAGTTAGTGTCTAAGTTCTGCTTGTGTGCATAGTATCAAATAATCCAATAACTTTTATCTAATACCTGGTTTAGGGTGCTATTTTTTGAAGCTAACTTTAATGTTAGTGTAATTCAAGTCTTGATCAAACTAAAAAAGTAGACTCCTGAAAAAGGAGAGAATGGATTAAACTGGGTGAATAAATAATAAGTTAAGCGACAGCTGAGCATAATAAAAAGCTATTTGCCATTCTTCTGTCTAAATACCATTGCATCTGTGTATATAAATTTTAGTCAGCTGTTCTGTGATGGAAATGCTGTGTCATGTGCACTGCGTCTGGCTCTGTGGCCCACAGTACAAGATATGGAGCTATTAAAGCAGGACCGCAAAATGGTCAGAGGACTGGAACACCTCTCCAATGAAGAAAGACGGAGAGTTGGAGTTGTTTAGCCTGGAGAAGGTTCTAGGTAGACCTGATTACAGGCTTTCAATATACACAGAGGGCTAATAAAAAAAGATGGAGAAACACTTTTGACCTGGATCTGTAGTGAGACGATGAGGGGCAACAGTTTTAAACTGAAAGAGAGTAGATTTAGATTGCTATAAGTGGGTTTTTTCATGGTGAGGGTGGTGAGACTCTGGAACAGGTTACACAGAGGAGTTGTGGATGCCCGATCCCTGGAAGTGTTCAGGATCAGGTTGGACAGGGCCTTGGGCAACCCGGTGTAGTGAAAAATGTCCCTGCCCTCATGGCAGGAGGGTTCGACTAGGTGATCTTTAAAGGTCCCTTCAAACCCAAACCATTCTATGATGATCTCTTATCAAGATACTGTGGGAATTGGCACAACACACTTGGGAGCTGCCAAAACCACTCTATGTTCTTTCTGGTCTGTAAAATCTTTCTTTTATGAAACTGTCTGATGCTAATTACTGTATCCCTAGTTATTTGCACCTTTGCTAGCACTCTGTAGCTAGTACTTTTTTAAAAGTAGCATTTTTTTGTATCTATATTTGTGTTCTTTAGTGAGTAATTCTCTTGTAGTGTTGCCAAATACAGTAGTAACAGGGAGTGAAGTGCTGTAGAGGTTCTCAGAAGAATATAGGTCTTTATATACTATTCATATCTAGATTTACATGCTTGAAAAGTAGATATTTGATACTTTAGAAAGGACCATCTGTACAGAATTGATGTTTTTCTTCCTAATTCAAAAGCCTAACAAAACAAATTCTGCTTATAAAATTTGACTCTGTCTTTTCTGTTATGTCAAAAAAAATTTTTATTATCTGACTTCTTTCTAGAAGGTGTTCCCAAACTCTAGTTTGTGGTGCCATTTCTGTGACTGAAAATCAGGAATGTGGATATCAGCCTCAAGTAGGATTTTTGGGGCTGCTCTTTAAGCAATTACCAGTTTCAGCCTTACTTCTATAAAACTAGTGCTTTTTTAATTGGGAGATTATTATATTATTATTGGTGCTTTTTATAATTGGGAGAGGGCTGGAGCACCTTTCCTATGAGGACAGGCTGAAAGAGTTGGGGCTGTTCAGCCTGGAGAAGAGGAGGCTCCGGGGTGACCTTATAGCGGTCTTCCAGTACCTCAAGGGGGCCTACAGGAAAGATGGGGAGAGGC